AGCCAGTGTCTCCCATAGCTCCTCAGGTGACTAAAGATTACCTTAGGTGACATAAAGTGACATAATTTTATTTCTTCTCTCTTGACATTGCTGGCCTCAGAGATTCGCAAGTACATGTTAGCATGGAGCTGACCATAGTTAAGCACTTTACACATTTCATTTATTTCTCAGTAATACACCAGGATAAATGCTATAAGGGCCATTGTACAAACAAGGTATTTAAGACACAAACTAGTTAAGAGCCCCTCCCCCAATACTCTCAACTGGTGGTTGGTGGAGTTGGGGTTGTCCTTAGCCTCAAAGCTGGCATTTGGAGACCAGCCATCTACTTCTCCAGTCTTGCTGCTTAGCTGAAGTTGGGACATAAACAGTCTCTTGCCTTTCTCTCCTGATTCATCCCCTTATGACATTTAAGCTCCCCCAAAGACAGGACTGTGCTTTTTGTTATATCAACTCTTTTGCAATGATGATGATGATTGTAGTGGTGGTTTCATACAGCTTTCCAAAGCAGTGTTCTCCACCATAAATAATTTTTCTCAGTCATCCAACTCATGTAAATATCAATAACTAGTTTAGCCCCCACCCCAGGTTAGTTTGCACGAACCCTCTTTTCCCTTGGTTAATAAGAAATCGCGGGCCTCAGCACCTATATATTTTGTTACTTCTTTTCAGGTTATAGGTTGTTGATTGATCTCCTGCATATGTTTATTTTGTTGGTCTGCTACATTGAAGCATCATTTTTTGCACAATCCCAGGGAAGTTTCATCTTTTGTTGTCCCAATGTGTCAAGGACAGAATTTTGTTGAGATTTCATGGCTTTGTTTGTTTGACTTTCTTTTCTGACCAAGGGTCTCATGTAGCCTAGGCTGGGTTCAACTCACTATGTGGCACTGACTGGCTAGCCTTGAACTTCCGATCCTCTGGAGTCAACCTTCCAAGTGTTGGGAATGCCATCATATACTAGCACTTATGGTTATAAAACTTTTATACAGCTTTTTAAATTTGTAAACTTTTCTGTGTGTATGTGGCATATGTATGAATGTGTATGTGTGTGTGTGTGTACATGTGTGTGTGTGTGTGTGTGTGTGTGTGTGTGTGTACATGTGTATGTAGATGTGTGTGTAGATATGATTCCTATGTAGTCATTTTTGTAGGCCAGTGGATGATGACAGGATGTCTTCCTCTTTTCACTTCTTCATCTTAATTTTTGAAGCTGGGACTATCATGGAACCCGGAACTTGCCATTTCAGCTGGATTGTCTGGCTAGTGAGCTCCAGAATGCATGTGTCTCTGCCCCTGGGTGCTGGAGTTACAGGAACATACTATGAGGTCCAGCTTTTACCCTGGTGCTGGGGACCTGAACTTTGTAAAATGCAAGGCAAGCATTTTACCTATTGGGCTCTCTCCTCAGCCCTCCACATGCACATTTTAAAAAATAGGCAGTTTACTTTCAGTGTATCTCTAAGAATATATTAATTATATTTTCTTTGGAATGCTAATGACTGTGGCATAAGACCTCATTATGCTAATAGCTCTCCTTTTATGAGCTTGTTTAGAGAGAATACAAATCTGTTTCAAGGCAGCATCCCTATCTTTGTTTCTCTAACAGCCTCCAAAATTGCAGCCAAATCTTCATTTCATTTTCTTTTCAGTAAAGTTGATTTCTTAACACAAATGTCTATATTGTCATTAATGATGTATATCACTACTCAACTTTGTTTATTAAAGCTATATTATGTTCAATCTAAATCTTTCCTCCTTTGAAAACATGACAATAAAGGGGGCCAGAGAGAGGGCTCAATGGTGAGAGCACCAGGTTCAATTCCCAGCACCCACATAGCACCTCACAGCTGTAATTTCATTATCAAGGGATATAATGGCCTCTTCTGGTCTCCATTGGCACCAGGCATGAACACGGTACATAGAAATACATACAGCAAAATACCCACACATATAAAGTCAATAGATGCAATTTAAAAATTTGGTGATGCTATATAGAACTTAAGGCTCCAAACACAAATTTATTGGAGAGACTATGGTGGAAATGAGCAAAGAGGCCATTGGCTCCTCCTAGGACAGACTAACTCAACTTCCCACTAAGGCAATAGCCACAAACTTGGACTGGATCACCTGCAACTTTGAATCAGCAGTCCCTGCTGTTGAGTCTTTGGCTATTTTAAGGTGTTTCTACTGATCCAGATACTGTGTTGAGTTTCCTCTTACCTAAATTTTGAGTTATTTAAATTTAAAGTTTGAACTGTTTTAGACTTTCAGGAATCTCAGATTACTCTAATAGTCTGTAGAAAGAAGAGTCATCCCCCCCACCTCTGGAAAATGCATGTACACACAGGTCTGCCAAATCAGCTCAAATTTTTCAGAAGTATTTATTGTGTGTGTCGAGGAGCACATCCTTATGTTTTAAAAATGGTAATCAAGTATGTCTGTAAACTTTCTGTTGAGTGTTATTTACAGAAAATAATATTAAGATTCAGAAAGCACTCCGGAAATTCTGAGGCAATAGTTATCTTTGCCTAATGTCTTTATTAGTTTTTCATAGCTACCAATAAACATTTCAAATCATTTCATATTTCTTGGCATATAGCTGTATTTTTCTTTTACCAAAGCCTACAAGGTGTTGGTGGCATAACACATTTTATAAAAATATATTAAGGACTGTAAGTTTCTTTAGATCCAAATAGCATGTGTCAAAATACAATTCTCAAAGCATTAAGCGTAGTTCTCAGAAACATGGATACTGAGCAAATGCCGAGATTTCATTGAGCTCAGCCAGCAAATTGACAAAGCCAATTCAAGCTCTGCATTCATAGTTTTAGCAAATCAGATGCATAAACATATGTTTTTGTGACAGCCTGGAGGAAGGCCAATTATTCCTTTATCAATTCTTTGATTTATGCAGTCTTTTCCAACAGAACACTCTGTCTAGATAAGGTTTCTGGTGGTAAGATGGTTCTCATTTGCCCTGTTAAGACCCATGGTTCTTCACCGTGCCCTAGACTTGTCTGAGTTGCATGTTAAGCAGATTGTGTGGTCCACTTCAGCTTTCTGAAGAGCTGTGGTCTCTATTTCTAACCAGCACCCACTGGTGCTGCTTGCTGGTCCTGGGTTACTTTGCCAGAAGATTGAGTGAGGCAGGAACAGGATAGCCTAACTCAGGAAGAAGCCTAGGTGGCCTCTGATTGGCTCATGCCATTTCTTCTATGCCATTTTTCTTCCTTTTCTCACCAGTACACACCAGGCCATCTGCCTCCATTGCCAAGTCTGTCTTGGTCTCAGCACATCTGCCTTCCATGGGTGCTCCCTGTAATTGAAACTTTAAATCGTCAGTAATGGTCAAGGTCCCTGTATCTTCCCACAGAGGCTTGGTCACTCTTGTGCCATTTCTGTCAATGAGTTCCATTTTACTTACAGTCAGTATTAGAAGGCTTCAAGTCATGTGTGGTTGTAAACTATAAGGCAACCTTATAATGAGCTCCTCTTCAGAGGGGTGCTTCTTAACTTTTTCATGTATGGAAGCATGAGGAGACAATCCTCACTCTTCTCCGTTAGGCCCCATTGTGCCCTTTGGCAGCTGTAGTTTAATGTCTTGACAAAAGTAAACAAGACCTGGATCACCAACAGACTTGTTAATGGATTAGGGACCCTAAATCCTAGACAATGAACTCCAGGCAGCCAAGGAATGCTGGGTATCAGCCTCCAAATTGGTTATCTAATACTAAATGGTCATCCCTGAAATTATGTACCTACAAGTAACATTGTATGTATTGAACAGGTTGTATGTGTCATTAGTTAAAGAAAAAGAGGCCAGGGGCCTTGAATTTAAGAAAGTGTGTGTGTGTGTGTGGGGGGGGGGTACTTGGGAACAGTTGGAGGGGAAAAAAAAGGGAAAATGATGTAATTATCTTTTAATTTTGAAAAATAAGAAATAAAGAAGCAAAATTTTCAATGACTCCAAGGAAGTTTGAAGACTCAGAATGTTAACTCAGGAAGGGGGTGGGGTGCTCTTGGTGCTCTCTGGCAAGATTCTGAAGGATGATTTCTAGGATGAACAAATGTGTGCCTGGGCGTGCCCCTGCAGAGGAACAGGATGTGTGTTTCAGGAGTTTGGCAGGGCAAAGAAGGGATGACTAAGAAAATCATCAGAAGATGAAGTAGGGTCAATTGAGGGACATTGGCTTTTAGGCAGAGGAAGCCGTTGCAAAGAGAATGACTTGAGTTCAAGAGTAGCAGGGTGGATTTTAATATGTTACAAAAAGAAAGTTTCTTAGGAAGACAGAGGTGATTACAAGATGCTTAATTTTGGAGAAGAAATATTCTAATCTCAAACTAGAGGAAAGAATGCATTTCTATCAGATGGCCCTAGGGTCAAGTAAGATTAAGTATTGGCTGTCTTTGAAGTGAGAGGCCTAGAAATTGCTAAGCTAGAGGGTGCCTGTCAGTGAGGGACAGACGAGTTTCCCAAAGGGCAACCATCCTGCAGTCTTGGATGAGCAGGGCTGAGGTCAGAGACAGGCTTAACCTGGGCATGAACTGGGGTTTCTTTCTGTGTAGTGTCTGCCCCCCAAGTCCCCTGGAGACCTGCCACTGCCTATACATGGCTTCCCATGTCTCTTGCATGCTGTAAGTCCTGTCTGACTGGTGAAGAAAGTTCAAGCCTTACCCATTTTATCTGCATTCATCCCTTATACTGATGTAGAGAAGGACACCTTAGTCGTGGGTAGCTTCTCCACTTCACCAAGGGCAAGAAGGTAACACACTTTCTCCAGCTGAAGTGAGCCTCTGTGTAGGTCCTTTCTTGGTCTTGGATGCAACCATGGAATCTCTCCTGGAACTTTGGTGGGGAATGCTGTTCTTTGCTGTAGTGTTTGCTTGAGAAAAGTATGCTTACTCACTCCCAGTATGTGGTGTGGAAGGAATTGGAGGGAGGGAAGCCCCTATTGTCAAGCAAATGGAGCCATGAGAGCTTGTGTGTCTCTTTCTAGGACCAAGAAACCCCCTTCCCCAGGGCGCTGTCAGCTCAGAGGCTGTCCCCTCGCTGGTGCTTCCTGGATGGTGAGTGTTTGGGGATCTGTCTGGGACTGGGCTGGAGAGGCAATGTGGCTGACATGGCAGCTCTTCACAAAGTGTGTTCACAATGCCTTACTGTCATTAGCATTACATTTTAATGATGTAGACTTGCTGATGCCACTGGACCTTTCCTGAAGTCATTTCCCTCAGAGCACCTCAGCATCATATTGTTTAAACTGACATTTCCCCTTTATCATTTTCCTTTATCTTTTTATAAACCATCTTGAGTGCCTACCTCAGATTAGTGTGGGCCAGAAACTACAGCCTATAGTCAAAATGGCTATTAATTTCTGAATTATTTCCATGCCTTGGAAATTCATATTAGTTTTGCAACGTTGTCACTTCAGTATGGTACATACATTGGTGGGAAACAGAGTTTGCATCTGTAACTCTCCTGCTGAGTGTGATCTATTGCATGCATAATGGGGTTAGTTAGGATGTGATTGTTTATGGCGTCCAGTTGCCACCTCTTGCATTTTTCACTTTCCTAGATGTTGTGGAATTTCAATTTTCCACCCAATTATCTGTACTGCCATGCATCTCCCTCTCTATGCATTCTTGCTATCATCCAACACAGCTAACTGAAGTTTCTATTGTCTGGATGGAGACATAGTTTCCTTGATGGTGTCCTTTTGTTACTAGTCTGTCCATCTGAGAGGATGAGGGGGTGGAATGGATGTGGATTAGTTGCCCAGAAGGGCTCTTTGTGTCTACCAAATCTAGCACTCATCGACTAGGATACAGGCTTCCATTGCTAGCTCAGCAGACTGAGGACTTCCCTCAAATTCCTACGAATCCAGCAGCGGAAAGCACAATCATTTCTGACTCCCAGAGTCCAAGGGAAGCAGTATGTATTTAAGGAAATCAAGAAAGTATTTACACAAGTCATCATGTCCCATATATGGGCTTAGATAAAATTGGGTTATGGATAATGGTTTTAACTATGAAATTGCTTTTGCTATATGAAGAGTTCTATTGTAAACCTTTCTTTATTGTTTTGAGTGCTTGTTTTTTTTTAACTTTTTAAGTTAGCATACAAAATGATGCATTTATGTATTAAAACTATTGTTATGGTGAATTCTTTGTTGGCATCAAGAATGAAGTCATAGTTGGAAGAACAGAGAAGAGTAAGTCCTGCCAGGACTATGTTGCTTTAGACTTAGGTTTTTAAGTAGGGCTTTGGTTCTCCTATTTCCGAGTTCAGTTTCCTTCAGAGGGTTAGTTACATTTTTTTCTTTTTAATTGAAAATAGATTCTTCTCTCATACAATACACCCAGACCAGGTTTCCCCTCCCTCTACTCCTCCAAGCCCCACCTCCGCAATCCATTCCATCTCCATCTCCTATCAGTAAAGAATAGGCGTCCAAGAAGCAACAACCAAACACAGCAAAACAAGATATAAGATAAGGCAAAAAGCCCTTCTATCAAGGCTGGATAAGGCAACCCAAGAGGAAGAAAAGAGTCCTATGAACAGGCAAAAGAATCAGGGATATACTCCCTCCCACTGTTAGAAAAACATGGCAAAACGCCACGCTAACAGCCATAGCATATATCCCGAGGACCTGGTACAGACCCTGCAGGCCTACGCTTGCCTCTTCAGTCTCCATGAGTCCATGTGAGCCTTGCTTAGTTGTTTCACTTGGCCATGGTCTCCTGGTGTCCTCCATCCCCTCCAATTTATAAAATCCTCTGTCCCCTCCTTTGCTGAATTCTCTGAGCTCTGAGGGGAGGGACAGTGGAGACCCCCGATTTAGACTTCATAATGTCTAGCTGTAGGTAACTGCACCTGCTCCCATCTGCTGCTGGAGAAAGCCAGAGAATAATTTTTTTTTAAGTTTGTGATTATGAGTAAAGATTTGCATCCTTTGCCCCGTTATTCTCTCTCTCTCTATTCTCTCTATTTTTTATTGCTTTTGGTCTGTTTTGTAAAAATTCTCGTGTTTGGGCTCTGTTAGATTTAAGTAAGGACACCCATAGGTTTTTGTTGTGTTGATTTTTTTTTAATTAAGAAGAATCGAATAACTTCAAAAACACCCTATGTTTTATTTCAGAGTTTTTCTTTTACAAATCACAGATGCAGCCCAATCCCATTCAAAGATTGTTTAAATCTTGGTTTTGTCATTTGGCTTCCTTTAAACATATCTCTCAGGGCAGAGTGTTGAAAGGAAATGCTTTTTTTTTGGGGGGGGGGCTATGTGGTCTCTGGCCTGCATTTTCAAGTTTTTTTCCAAAATGAGAGTCACATTTCTGGGAAGTCTATCTAACCACTATGTCTTTTCTAGGTTTATTTAATTAATAAAATATTAAGCTTCCCCCTCTGTTAAAAGTCCTGTGTTATTTCCTAGAGACATAAGAGAATAAATGAAAGAACCCTTTCAATGATGCAGGCTTCTAGTCTCTGTAAAGGGTTTAAGCAGAATGGTGGTGGATGTAGGGTTTAGGAGCAACAGGCTTTCTTCTGTAGGCAGTTGGATTGGAGGAAAGTTTTGTTTTGGGGAGCCCACCAGAGATGACCATTCAGACACAGTTTATAGTCAATTAAAAGTCTTTATTCCAGCCAGATGGGACTACACTCAGGTATTCGGGACTTAACTGTAGCACCAAGTGTCCAGAGCACAGGGTTTTTGAAGGCTAAAACCCTACATTCTGGCATTTTAATCAGCAGCTGCAGGTAGGATCTTGTGTAAGCAAGCAATTTGACAGAAGCAAAGATAAGCAGTTAGTTGGAGGTTGGGGTTCTGAACAAGCAGCAATTTAGCAGAAACTAAGATAATTTACCTGGGGCATCTTGACCTTGGGTTCCTGGAATAGACTTGGGTAATTTTCCACGGGATTCTCCATCAAGGAGATCAAATTGTAGTTAAGCCTGAAATGTCCTCAACAAGAATTCAAGATGGCCCTTTCATGGTTTCTCAGAGACTGAAGCATTTGAGTTATTGTTTAAAGATAAGTGAGATGCAGATAACAGTGTGGCTGGAATGGCTTAGGAGCATTGGAATAGCAGTGGCCAAAGCATGGAAGTGCTGGTATTTTAGTAATCGACTTAGGGACTGGCCACCCATGTAACATGCTTCTTACAAAGGTTTTGATTGACTGTGCAGTAGAAAGAAAAGGTGTAAATCTGATGACTCTAAATGCCCTGTATGTTTTTTTCCCTCAGCAACTTCTGCTGACCGCTTTTATCGAATAGACAGATCTCAGGTAAGTTTTCCCAGCTTGTTTATGAAAGTGAAACTTCTCCCAGTCCGTGCACTGTGTTTGTTGGTAGTCAGTCTCAGAGATTTTGCTAATGGAAAGATTAAATAGGATAATGTGTATTGTCTAAGCCACAATGCTTTTTGTCTGCATGTGTTTTATGACTCATGAGCTCAATGAAGTGGCGAATGAAAATATATAAGAACTTGAATTACGATTATTATCACAACCCTACACTCTTTTAAGTTTTCATTTTCATGTACTCTGGCCAAGGTGATACTTATACTTTTTTTAAATGCATATTGTTTAGCTGGTATATATGTAGACAACTTAGATTTGGTTTATTAATACTCCCCCATATTTAATAATGAGGGAAATTATGTTTACCCAAGGCTAAAATCTCTGCCCACCATTGAGATATTCCTGGAAAAAAATTATTGAACCCATTGAAAACCAGCTCTTTCTTAACCATTACCACTTAGCTTTGGCCATATCCTGGGGCAGAAGTCTGAGCTGTCATGTCCTCATACTGGACCAGGTAGCATGTCGAATGCCACATCTTATAGCATCTGGGAGGAAGCAGAGGAAAGGTCATTTCTGGTTCCATCTAACAAGATCCTGGTCAGGTGTGACTACTGAACCAGGGTGGTCATTTCTCCCTCTGGTCTCTATGTGCTACACAGAAACAGTAGAATTATTTGGTGTGTTGCACAGTCCATTCCTTATTCTGAGGGTGGTGATGTCAACACCCTGACAGGCTTGTTTTTCTTCCTTAGGAACATTTACACTTTGTGATGGAGATTTCTCACGATGAGATTTTTATTTTGGACCCAGATATGGTGGTGTCACAGCAGGCAGGGACACCTCCAGGAATGCCTGACCTGGTGGTTGAACAGGCTTCGGGGTAAGTGTGTCTTTCCTCCCTCGGTGCCAGCATTGGCTGGCTGTGGTGTGACCTCTATATCTTCTTTGACTTTGCAATTGATATTCTAATGACATAAAAAAACATTTGGAATTCAGATGTATTGATGTTTCCTTAAATGAGATGCATCTGGTTCTGTAAGGCCATCTTCTGAATGGCTGTGTAGGAATCCTCATGCCCGCCCAGTGTCTTCTGTTGTCTGAACCTTATTTACTATTACACAATCTCTCACACTGGGCTTATAAATACTGATACTACTATCTTTTCGCCTATATGGGGTTTATTTGGTGTGTTATCCACAAGAAATGTTGACATAGATGATTTAATCCAGTTCTCTTTGCCTTGTTTCCAAATTGACTGACACAAAGTGTCTGGATTGTTCTTGCCACTCTTGTATTATTCCTTTTCCTTCAAAGCAACTTAATTCTCTTTTGTGCATTTTTTCTCATCTGTGAATACAAATAATAGTACCACCTTGTCTTAGTCAGGGTTTCTATTGCTGAGACAAAACACCATGACCATAAAGCAAGTTGGAGAGGAGAGGATTTATTCAGCTTATACTTGCACATTGCTGTTCACCACTGAAAGAAGTCAGGACAGGAACTCAAACCATAGGATTCTAGAGGCAGGAGCTGATACAGAGGCCATGAGGGGTGCTGCTTACTGGCTTGCTGTCCATGGTCTGCTCAGCCTGCTTTCTAATAGGATCCAGGACACCAGTCCAAGGATGGTACCACCCACAGTGATGGTACCTCCTTCACTGATCACTAGTTGAAAATAATGTCTTACAGCTGAATCTCAGAGAGGCATTTTCTCCACTGAGTCTCAGTTCTCTCTGATGACTCTAGCTTGTCTCGAGTTGACATACAAAACCTACTCAGAGAATTAGTTTTAGAATAAATAAATTGACACAGGCAAAATACTTGGAAGACATTTGCCACATGGTAGACATTCATTACATATTATAATCATTTCATAATGACCTTACCAATTGGGTTCTGTGATTATCTTAAATCTATAGATAAGAAAATGGAGGCTCAGAGTTGCTAGACTAATCTTGCACATAAAGTAAGTGTAAAACCTCAGATTTAGCCACATTGTTTTTCTTGTAGATCCTATGTTTTAGGGAAAATAGGTTTTATTTTTCATATGCTGGGAAAAGTTGTTCCATTTTATAGACATAATTTTTCCCCCAGGTTTTTTGTTATTATCAAAGTGCTTAATGATTTTTTTGTATTTAATTTAAATAAGCAGCTATATCCTCCCCCCAAAGTTTAATCAGCACTAAAGAAAAATTATGCAGAATACTGTACTAAAACTATTTGAGGGATTGGAGAGATGGCTTATCAGTTAAGTAGATGCACTGTTCTTGCAAAGGACATGAGTTTAGCACTCACATTATGTGTCTATGATACCTATATGACAGCTTCAAGGAATCTGATGCCATGTTCTGGACATTGTGGGTACTTACACTCACATTTGTGCATACCCGCACATAAATACACACTATGCATGTTAATAATAAAATAAATCTTTAAAAAATATTTGAGACTGAGTTAAAATTGAAAAGTAGTAGAAAAGTATACAAAAAGTCATTCCTGCTTAACTGAAGTTTCTAGAACATATGACATATAGTTATCTTCATATTCGTAGTAAAATCACCTATGCCTGGTCTGTGGTGAGTTTACTAAAATGTCATCTTGTAAAATATCTAAGTTATTTGAAAAATATTTAACAATTCAAAAGTACTTATTTGGAGTTGTTATGCATCAACTGTCATAGCATGTGAGAGCCATTAGTGCAAAAATAAAGACAGACAAATGTCTCTGTCCTTTTGAAATCTAATAGACAGTGGCTCACTGGTGTGAGGGACTGATGGCTGAAATACAGGCTGCCCAAGAAAGCATATACAGGCACTCGAAGCAAACAGAGATTGTGTATCCATAACCACAGGGCATAAACAAATGTACTTATCATAAAGACTCTTACATATATTGGATGAGAAGTGGAACCATCTGTTAAGGTGGCTTTGGACTTTTTCCTCTTATTCTGTCCATGCCAAGTATGGACAACTTTGTTTCTGGTTATAGTTTTGCTACTATACAGAGTGGCCTGATTTCTCAGCAGTAGTGCCTTCTGGAAATATGTGGAATTCCACAAAGATGTGGAATGAGTTTAGGCTTTCTCATTTTCTAAATTAATTTCTGTGCCTGACTCCATTCATTTTGTACTCATGTCACACCTAGTAAAATGACTTAATCTTCCCAATGAAATACCTCATTAATATAAAAAAGGACAAAATCATACAAGTAATTCAGAACTTTTGAGAAAGGATGAAAATGAAGGACATATCTAGTAATAATGGATCTAAAACAAGATTGTTATGAGAAAGAAGTAGAGTAAAATGTGCATTTACTTTCTGGTACCATTTTTGACCCAGGCTGTCTGACTGGTGGAATCCTGCTCTGAGGAAACGCATGCTGAGTGACAGTGGGCTGGGAATGATCACACCCCACTATGAGGACTCAGATATGAAAGATCTCAGTCACTCCAGAGTTTTACAGTGAGTCTCTAACTGTTTTATAATTACTTTTTAGGTTATAATATAATTACACCATTTTCTCTTCCCTTTCCTCCTTCCAAGCCTTCCCATATCTTCCTTGCTCTCTTTCAAGCTCATCTCCTCTTTTTTTTTGTTAATTGTTATTGTTATTGGTGTGTGTGTGTGTGTGTGTGTGTGTGTGTGTGTGTGTATGTATGTAGCCAGATCACCTGAATAATATTACTTGCATAAGAGCCATAGACTATCTAACAAAAACCTCAACACTAGACACAAGTATCCCTCTCATGTTGCTGGTCCGGATTACCCAAGAGACCCCTAAAACATGATATTCTATTGTTATTGCCCTTAGTTCTTCCCCAGAGGTGGAAGTGAAGTCCCTATTGCTAAAAAACACCATGCACAGAGAACCCAGAGGGCACTAAACTGGATTTTGCTGTTTTTGTTTGTGTCTCCATGACTTCTGGAGGAGGGAGGGTCTGAAACATGAGCTGTTTTTAGTGGTGACCAAACTGTCTCATGTGCCTATGTCCCTCTTGGTGTTTTAGTTACTTTGCTTGGGTTCATCTGCTTGCCAGATTGTAATGGATCTCCATCATCTATTGTCTTCGTAGGGAGCTACCTTGAGACTGTGCATCTGGGTCTGTAAACGTTTAAAGCTTCACTAGTACTTTTGTTACTGGAGACAGGAGCATGTCAGATCCCTAGGAAACTCCACCAGGAAGAGATGCATGAGAGTTTCCAATAGGTAGGAAAGGGCACACGGGCTTTCGTTGTGTGACCACTGGGATTTGCAACTCTCTTTATCTCAGTTTCTGAATGTGCTTTGGGTAATACTGCCCAGTAGGTTTTTTTATTGTTTCTACAAGGGTATGATAGTTTCATTTGTCACTTTGATGTAATTTAGAATCACTACACAATAGTCTCAATGTGGGATTGCCTAGTTCAAGTTGACCTGTAGGGCTGCCTGTGAGAAATTTTCTTGATTATGTTAATTGAATGGGGAGAGCCTGTCTAACAGTGGGTAGTACAATTTCCTGAGTATGAGTCTTAGACTTTATAGAAGAGGAACACGTTAGCTGAGCAGTCAGCATGCAGGCATTAATTGGTTGTTCTCTGCTCTTCGGTGTGGATGGGATATGAGAACTACTTCCATGCCCTACTGCCTTAACTTCCTCACAGTGATGGACGGTGGCCTGGAATTGTGAGCTACAATTAATGCTTTCTTCTCTAAGATGACAGAAAGGAGTCTGGGACAAGCCAGGTGTTATTTGTGTGTGTTGTAGGGGTCCTTTCTCTTCAGGTCTGCCCATGGTTGGAAAGTAGCATACAGTTGGAGTTTTATAGAAATCTTGGTACTGAGTGTTAAGTGTATCCCGTCTGCTGGTATTTTGCTGCAGGAACACATTCAAGGGTGCAATCTGAGGCCATCGTCTGAGGTCACTCATTTGTACCCACTTTTAACTTCAGGACAATCACCTCATCTCAGAGGTTACAGAAGTACTCTGTCATTTATGAAACTGGGCTTGTTTTGTTCTCAGTCCAGTTCAGGGTCCTAATCAAATAGTGACATTGGCCTTGTAACATTCAATCTTACCTTTCCACAGAATAACAGGATTACTAAGCTTCTTAGAAGCCCACAGTTAAATGAAGAGGCAAGACACTGCATTGTTTCTAAAGAAAGACCGGAAGCAATTTCCCCAGGACAAAGGGAGAAAAATGAGAAATCGCAAGCTAATTATTTCATTGGCAAAGGTTCTATTCAGACACCCTGAGGGCAAAAGGAGACTTCATTTTAATTACTTTCCTGTATTACCTCTTATTTTCTTATGTGAAGAGGAGAAAGGAAAAAAAATGAATTGCTATGGATTTTCCCTTTTTAATTAAACCGTGTTGCTGGTTTCGGATAGCATTTTGATTGCTTACAATTCTGAGTGTTTTTCCATTTCCTTTTTGTACAGTATTAGGGCTTGTGAACAGGGATAACTCAGCCATCCGTGAATGGCTAAATAAGTAGCCATCTATCTATGGGCAAACTTATTGGAAAACTAGAGTTTTAATTATCTACAGAAATAAATACTAAGCCTTTGCGGGCCAGCTGAGTGTTTCTGTATATATGTGATTTGCAGAGAATGGACTATTATCTCAATCTAGTCTCTGTGGTTAGAGATTCCTCCAGAGAACATGTTGATGTACACTTCCTAACATATAAAGTGATTGTTTCTGAAGTAGTAAACAGTCTTCCAAGAACTGCAAATGCATGGAGCACTTCCCTTTACAACCAGCTTCTTAAACCTGTGTTGGAATGAGCTCGTAGTTTCTGTTTGGACTAGGCAGTCATCTCTATTTCTGTGAACCACAGCAGATCCTAGAGTTCTTTATGTAAAGTGGTGTGGTGTTTGCATATAATCCACTTCCCTGTTCTGTGCATGACCCACTACAAGTTGTGGTACTGTATTATCTAAGGAAGAATAACAAGAGTCATACGTGTTCACTACAAACAGTATTTTATTGAAATATTTTTCATATTTGCTTAGTTGAGTCTATGGATTCCTGGACACTGTAGTGTCTAACTGATGCAGCCCAGATCACCCTGGATAGTACCATTCCTGGGCAGGTGAGCTTGGGCTGAAATCTAGCTGAACATAAACCAGAGTTCAAGTCAGTAAGTCAGTCAGAAAGCAACATTCCTCCATGATTTGTTGCTTCAAGACCCTACTTGAGTTCCTGTCTTGACATTCCTCCATGATGAATGGTGAACTGGAAGTATAAGCGTAATAAACCCTTTCCTCCCCAAGTTGCAACATATATCTTTGCTGCAATATGTGTGTGTGTGTGTGTGTATGTATGTATGTATGTATGTATGTATGTATGTATGTATGTTCCATGGTTTCTTAATATGGCCAAGTAGCTTCACAGTGGAAATATTTAAATTTGTGGAAAGAACATGAGAAGTATTGCACTGAAACTGGCATCTGTCTGTTAGTCCAGCCCTAAACCTCAAACACCATGGAGACAAAATGGTTAATTTCAACATCTTGATGATACTAAGTAACTGATACCTGAAGACCAAATCAAAAGCCTTAAAGCCTTAGAACTGAAAATATTATGTATCAGCTTTTTGACACATGGAAATAGCATTTACAGAATGGTTTGTGGCTCTAAATCGTTTATCAATAAAAGGTATTTGTATGTATATATGAAAAGTATTTCATTTGACAGCAGAACCTCAGTAAAGAATAAACATAGGAAGAGAGACAAACAATAAAGATAAAGACAAAGCAGTAGCAGAAAGAGTAAAACAAAATAAATGACTAATAATTACATTGAAAAAAATGATTCTTCAAGAACATAAAAAGGGAGGCAATATTCTGCAAGGGATGCCCCTCCTCCCTGCCCCAAGGGATGGAAGAGAAAAGACACAGTTTGCTCAGCCAGTTCTTCCTCCACAGCAGTCAGACCAATGTAAGGCTTCTCCCTCCCCCCCAATTCCCCTTGGATCTTCTCAGTGTTTTCTCATTGTTTGGGCACACTTAGTTTCTTAGCTGGATTGTTCTCTATCTTTCTTCAAGAATGGTGAGATATATATTTTGGAGATTAAAAAATAAGAAAAACCAAAAAATAAAAATAAAATTGAAAATATAATGCAAACACTAATTACACAATCATTAAATACTCTCTAATAATTGCAATTCCTTGTGGGAGAGAAGACATAAGGTGGTAGTTTCCTTCATTTTTTTATATTTTTCAAATTTTAATCTACATGTATATGCACACACACAAACACACACACACATACTTTACAATAAAATGAGTTTAATTTTATTAGATAATGGCTATAAACTGAGTATTATAGGTAAGATGATTACAAAATAAATTATTAAATAATGTGTTTTTAAGTATTAAATAATAAAATATGTCTTGGAATATTACTTTAAAAAAAAAAGAATAGTGAGATGGAGACCATGAACAAACAGAACTCTGCTTTTGTCTCTGCTATGTCTTGTTGAGTTCATACTGTTTCCATTTAGAATCATGAGGAAGTGGGTGTAGGTGTGTACATGTTCCCACACATACAGGTCCTTCTAGAGGATCTGTGATTCCGAAGGACACACAAGATGTGTATGCTGTCTTGAAACCTGAAACAGTAAAGGACAATCTTGAAGAACCAATTTTGAAATACATTGCCAAGAGATGACTGATACATTTTCCTGTTAGGATTTCAATAACTTTGCCTAGGGGTTTAACAAAATAGTTTCTACATCTAAGAAAGTTTATTTAAAATAGCATGTGGGCAGAGGTGTAGCCCAGTCAATAGACTGCCTGCCTAACATGTACCAAGTGCTGGCTTCCATAACAACACCTCATCAAGGGGTAGTGGTAGAAAAATCAGAAGTACAAGATCACCCTTAGCTACTTAGTGAGTTAGATGAACTGCATGAGATCTTGTTTTAAAATATAAAAACATATTTGCCCTTATCATTAATTGCTCAACAATTGTCCTTTGTGAGACTGTTTTGTTCAGGTGGAAGACTAAAAAAGATGCAATTTGCTTAAGTTTAATCAAACAATCTATTTGGGGTGCTCATCACTGCATCTAATGAGATAAGAAAGGAAAGGAAAACTCCAGTGCGCTATGAGCACTCTCAAAACAGAGAAAACTAACATGCAAGCTTGAGCTACAGTGTGTGAAGTCTGTTTTATGATTTCATTTTACTTCTAGGGAACACATTGGACTACTGAACCAATCACTATTGGGTACCTTCAGTAGCTATGATAGGTGCTGGAGATATGAGACTATGTAAGAAACCGATTACCCTAAAAAAACTTATACTTAATGGGGAAATTGTATAGAAACCATTGGTTATAATTCCTACTGATATATCATAGTGTATAGATGCAAAGAGGAAATTAAAAACCAGTATTTTCTCTTTCCCTTAGACTCTACTCTTATTTTTTTTATATGGAAAGTATAAATGTTTAATGAAAATGGGCTTTAAGAG